GAGCAGGGAGCCCGATGTGGGACTCGATCCCAGGACCCTGGGATCATGACCTGAGCCGAAGGCAGATGCTTAACCATCTGAGCCACCCAGGCACCCTCAATCATGATACTTTTATACAATAACCCAAGGGATTCAGTTCTGGCCTTATATTGTCATAAAATTTTTTTCTTCTACCTTCATGCCATGGCCTACCTGCACAATTAGAAACAAGGTTTCTATGAGCTCTACGGCATTTGTTGTCCGTTGTTGTACTCTGTGTGCTGGTCAATAATTGATCATTTTGCCCAAACTCAATACAATTACCTTTAAAACAATTTTCTGAGGGCCCATTATGTGTTTAGAAGATGTTAGGTCTCCTTACCCATTAATCCTCACTAACATTTGCTTGAGGGAGCGGGGAAGAAGAAGGATGAATAAAATTTGTATTAAAGAGCAAAAACCAAGGTAAAGTGGCCACATCACAGTAATATTAGTAATAATAGCCTGGCGGGTGAAAGGGTTGATCTGATGACCTCAACTCAGTGCTGTTTGCTAGTATTATACATTTTGAAGGTTGAACCTAACACCACTAAGAACTAAATGTAATATGAATTCACTTTATAAATAAAAACTCCAATGAGATTGAACAAAAACAATAAGAAAATCCACCCACAAATACCATCGTGGTAACCAAAAAAAAAAAAAAAAAAAATCAAAGACACATCTTCCCTTATTCCAATATGCTGTGTATCTTCTATTTGGCCCCAGAGTATTCACAGTCAGACTCAGAAACACAAAAATGCATGGCTGCCATCGAATAAATGACCATTAAATGCCAGGTGCTTACAAAACACAGTCTCTAAAATTTCTGCAACTACCATACAAGACTGAACTTTCTTGCATTTCTTTCTTTTCTTCTTTTCCTTCCTTTTCTGCCCTTTTCTCCTTTCTCACGCACTCAACTCTCTCCTTAGAAACACAAATGAGGACCCTGATAAGCTCAGCATGCATAGCTAGCTAGTGACTCCCAAGTCTGCAATGTTTCTTCTGCACTTTCCTGGCTTGCACTAGAAATCTAAGGGACAATAAATCAATAATAGAAGCCAATGTGGAGTGAGGAATCAAAGTGGTAAATTACCGCTGTAAAGCTGGGTAGAAACTCGAATCAATGAAATGTAAAGAATTCGGATGAGAACTTTCAGAAGCTATAAACCAAAATAGGGGAGGGGAGCATCAAGGCGTGCCAGGCATGGTTTCTAAACCCTTAGGCAATCCAAAATAATGAGCAGCGTATCTGCTTTTGAGGGGCTCCAAGTCCTGTGGACAAGACAGACCGGTCAGGACATGTTTGTTTGTTTGTTTTTTTGTTTTTTGTTTTTTGTTTTTTTAGTTCACAAGTTTATTATGAAAAACACTGCAGGGCTCTTGTGCAGTAACATCGTCTTATAGGAGGGGAAAAAAACAGTTCTGTTCAAAACAACTCACCAGGTTCTGACAATAACAAAGAACAACATGAGGCTGAGATTTGAGAAGGGAAATAAACTGAGTGCAGACAAATCATACAATTAAATTAAACGGTATCCCTGAAAATAAACAAAATGATTTCAAAAGTCACAAGTAGAGGGGAGGCCTTGGTACTTATTTTTTAAAAATGTTCATTAAGCTCCAATGATTGTTTGCTGCTATCCTTATCTACAGTCATGCTGAGTAAAGCTATAGCTAAATGGAAGTTAAATTGTATTCACGAGGTGTTAATGTTTACATCTTATTATCTGCAGTCTCTCTGAGAAAGCAAAAGTAACTACAAATAGCGCTATGCCAGAAACTGGTTTCTTGACCAACAATGTCGCTTCAGCATGCAATGAACTGGTTCATTCTAAAGTGGTCACGGCTGTTGATGACAAGAGGCTTTGTATTTTTATATGGCACATCTTTTGGTCCGTGTGAAAACAAGTTTTTTGAATGTTAACTATTCTCTGACACTTTGGAGTTACTGTTGCTCTTCCCATTTCCAATATATGGTTCATGGCAATACTGTACAAGTTTAAAATTTCATTACAGAAAGTAGTCTGGAGTACGACGAGTAACGTGTGGCTCGCCTCTGCGAGGTGCTGGGTCAAACTGCAAGAAAGAATATTTTAGAGTATCATCAAGTTCCATGATCGCAGCTTGATTACCACAACGATAACAATAGTTTGGAGCACTGAAAATCGTTACTACATTCCGGTCACGGCACCAGTTATATCCCTCCATCACCAGCTGGTGAGCTCTGGACACCAACGTGAGGCCATTGGCATGATTAAATGTTTCGGAAATGTCTTGCCCAAAGGTATAACCAGCTCCTCGAGGAGATATACCCCAACCACCACGATCATCTGGATCTGACCACAGCAAGTCACACATTGGACCCTCATGAGGAACTTCTTGTAGGCGATCAAGTGCTCTGATGTGATCCAGTGTATCTATGGATGGATGGTGAGAGGCCACCATGTCGACAGAATATCTGCCCATCCACCAAGGCAGTGAGAGGAAGATAGTCAAAAAGATCTGTAAAATATTTCCAAACATTTGCATTTCCATATTTCCTTAAACATTCATCATGGAAACCATATACTTGTGTGATCTGTCTGCTCTCATGATTTCCTCGAAGAATGGTGATACGTTCACGGTAACGAACCTTGAGAGCTACAAGCAGAGTAACTGTTTCAACTGAATAATATCCTCTGTCAACATAATCTCCCATAAACAAGTAGTTTGTATCTGGTGATTTGCCACCAATTCTAAACAGTTCCATGAGATCATGAAATTGCCCATGTACATCTCCACAGGCAGTGACTGGACATCGAACCTCCTGCACATTGGATTCTTTTGTCAGGATTTCTTTAGCCTTTTCGCAGAGGCTCTTGACCTGGGACTCGGACAGCTGCTTGCACTCGTTCAGCTGCTCGATCCATTGGTCCAGCTCCTTGGTGAACACCTTCTCGTCCATGATGCCACCCGCCCGAACCGGCTGCCGCTCCGCGCTACTCCCGCGCCGCCGCCCGCACACGGGCCACACCGCACACGCCGCCGCCGGTTCCCGGGGTACCTGTGTGGCTGCTGGCGGCTGCTCGGCGCTAGCGCGAACCCGCGAACTCTCCCTGCACTACCCGGCCGCCGGCCGCAGCCCTGCTCCGCTGGATCTAGTCCCGGAGCTCGGCTCTCTGTAATGGCGGCCGCCGGCGTGGTGACATCACGCCCGGCGTCAGGAGGCGGCGGGGTAGAAGGGCCGGGACAGGAGCTGCGCAACTGCAGAGCCAGCCCTGCTCCGCCGCCAGGGCCGACTAGGGGGGCGGTAACCAGGTCAGGACATGTTTTAATGCAAGGTGACAAAGCAAGGATGCGAACCTAGTGAGGAACGGAGCAGAGAGGGGGATCCCGCGGGACATGTTACCGAGAGGGGAGCTGCAGAGAGTAATTGCTCTAAAAGGAGAATGTAAGGATCTGCAGGTCACGGCGGCCGTAGCTTACAAGGGCCCCATCAGCAAAGTCCGTTGCAGATGTAACACTCTGCCACGCTCCGTGCAGTCTAGGCATCCATAACGATGGCTCGGTAGCTCTGTTCCAGTTGGCAGCTCTGACACTGTCCTCGAAGGGGCCTTCCAAGGCCAGCCCCCCACTCCATGCCTGCTCTCCGTCCATTTAAAGAGCTGGCAGAATAAAGGAATAGCTGATTGGCAAAGGCTGAAGAAGAAAACGGGAGGGAGCAGACTGCACTGGTGAGATTTTTAAGGAGTAGCAGTGCGTCAACCGTGGATCTCTGCATAGTTGTTGGTGTCAGAGAGGGAGTAACATATGGGAACAATACTTAGTAATGAGTACTAATGTCGACTGGTACTTAAAGCTTGAGTGTCCTATCAAGCCTCGTCCGATCGGGCAGCGGGGTATCAGTGGTTCCGTTCACCACGTTCTCACAAGGGGAGCCAACAGTTCTCCACCTCAGGGCGCCGACTTACTCTTCCAGGCGACGATGCTTGGACAGAGCCGGCTTCCAGGCTCGCCTCAGCTCCTTGCTCGCCTCATGACTCTGGAAAATTACTTAGCCTCTGAAGAAAATGGGAGAAATGGCACCTACCTCGTAAGATGAGCGGAGGACTGAATAAAATAATGCAGATAGTAACACTCACTGCAGGGTTTCCATTCTGGTGCTGATGGTCCATTTGGTTCTTCCTAAAGGGAACTGATGTTGGTGCTGAAGACCACAAATGGATTGTGAAACTCCCCTGAATTGCACCGTGAGAGGTTAAGCAAGCCGAACGGGAATGTTCTGCTGAGCGGGCCTGATTTCTTAGGGCCCCATTCTCAACATGGCTCCAGTTGTCCTCCTACTTCTTCAATAGTTACCTTTTAAATAGTATTTTACATCTGAAAATAGAAGACGCAATACAGAGAATGCCTGGCCCACAAAACATTCACTGTGTTCGAATGGATTCGTTTATGTTAGATCCCCTTAAAATAAGCAACCAGAGTTTTGCAAAGAGGGTGTATTGATAGATGTGTCTTCCTTGGACAGGGGGATGAAAGGGAAAACAACAGCACTCCTTATTCAAGTAGTATTCAAATCATCCATTTCCTTGGCTTACAACTACAAGATGCTCATTATTCACGATCAGTTATTTTAGAAATTACGGGAAAATAATTTGGAAGCATGTAGACTCCTCCGAAACTGAGTCCAAAATGCCAGTCTGGCCCCCAAGCAGCTGTTGTTGAATTAGTTGGTGGGACACCTATAGAAAGGAAGGGTGTTTAAATGGCCATTAATTAGAGCTCAGAAGGCCCCTAATCAAAAGTTAGACAAAGGGCCCAGACTTCCCAAACACCTCACCCTCCACATTTGTGGTGAGCCACTGTTCTTAGAGAAGAATGCTGGGTACACGCCCACCCTCTCTGATGAGCCACATTCTTTCTAGCTGATCACCCTGAACATGGCCTAGTTTGGGTTTTGTTAATAAGAAAGGCAAGGTATTAAATAGATCACAAGATGCAAGCTACTCATAGAGGGCTTAAAGCAAAACCACAAGTTAGGTTGACACGGGCTATGTCAAATATTTTTCTCTTCAGCCAAACAAAAATGTGGGCTTGCACAAAGCAAGTCACTAACCCATCGGGGGGAAAAAAAAAAAAGATTAAAAATAATACTAATCAACTTTTCATCTATCTGTAAACAGCCTTTTAAAGAAATTATACCATTCGTGCCAAATGTGCATCTGGTGCTAAGTCAAAACCCATAAAATATCATATAAGAAAATCATGAAAGCAAACGAAATCACACAATACTGTGAGTATGGGGTAGAAGTGTTACATCGGGCAGCTTCCTGTGCAATGTGAAATAATCCATGTGTGATTGTCACCAGCCTTGCAAATGCACTTTTTCAATTAGAAGACATTATTCCTGGGCAAATAAGAAAGTTTATGAAAATCCTGAAGAAAAGCTTTTTCTAAATCCGTGTCGGCTTTACATGAGAAGGCTGATGAAGATTTATGTTTGATTTCTTGCTTAGTCTTCCTTCCCACTTACTGCTTCTTGGTGAACGAACTCACAGCCTCATTCCTCCATGGGAAAAACAGTATGTGGGGATTTGGTTGATGGCCTTTACCGAGTCAAGGCAGATAAGGGGTTTTATGGGTAGCGCGATTTAGACTTGGAGGATTTACTCTTGGATTATAACCAAGACAAGGGAATGAGTCGGTTGGAACAAATTTTCTTTAGGTTGTCTTTATAGATTGTTTACTGATTAATGGCCTTTTCAGAATTGTAAAATCTTGTAAGGCGGATACCAGGACTAGTCGTGCTCTTTCTGTTGTTAATCTAAATACATCGTCGTTAAGAGAGGTTAGTTATTTTAGCAAAAGGCAGAGATAAACGACTTGTTTTTTCATTGGTTTCAAACTAAAACCAGCTCTCTTCTTTCTCCTTAAAGAGCTCTTCGTCCAAATATTATGATCTTTAAATGGCTGGTTTGAAACCAGTTTTAAGATCCTTCCACCAACTACAAATATTGCTGAGTTTCAGAGGCATTTAAGTGTAATCTTGGCATACAGTACTTGAGGAAGGCATAAAATTCTGCACTGGGTTTCAGGGAGTCGTCCTACAAGAGCAGCCCTGGGAAGATGTTTACAGCGTTTCGGGAAGATGCCGAGCAAAATGCCTTGCTCTCTGCGTGGCGTGTTGGTTACTCTGTGGTGCTGCTCGTCTTACTCAAACGCAGCAACAAATGATACCGGGGCAATCCATGTGTGTTCTGGATTCGTAAGTGTATAGTGTACAGGAAATAAAATGTGTTGGTCTATGTTGAAAGGGGAAAATAATTAGAGAGTATTCGCTGATCATTTTTCTTCTCGTTTTTTTTTTTTTTTTTATGTATACTGTCTTGAACGGTGGTTTTCAACCTGGAGTGGTTTTGCCCCCCAGGGAACATTTGGTAGTATCTGGAGGCATCTTTGGTGGTTACAGCTGAGGGGTGGGTGCTCCTGGCATCTGGTAGGTGGAGGTCAGGGGGGCTGCTCAGCATCCTGCAGTGCCCAGCACAGCCCAACAGCCCCTACCACAGAGATTTATCCGCTCCAAAATGTCAGTAGTGCCCAGGCTGAGGAACTTGGCTCTAGACTCATCACCGAGTCCATGGGAAGCACTAATTGTGGGGAGATGGAGTAGGTGGGTGAGTATGTTTTCATTGGCTCAGTACGTGTGTGTGAACTAAGGAAAGGTCAAAGGTTTAACATTTTTCACCTTCAAGTCTCTTAATGGATCAACTGTTATTTCAAAGATTAAAAAGGAGAAAAAGCCTAGGTAAGTGCTGAATTTATAATGAAGTCATGTCCCTTCTTGTTCCTTGATCTGCTTCCAAAAGAGGAAAGAAAGGAAATCACCCAGACTGCAGTTTATGCTTCTTTTGTGCTTGGATTAATTAAACAGAAATGAATAGCAGTCACCGTCTTGGGGAAGGTGGTATCCGCGTCTTAATTATAGATTTGCCCCCCCCCGATGCGTTGCTCTCTGGGGAGTGAGCTGGTTACCCTGAGGTGCTGGTGCAAATTGTCATTTTATGCTGTGAGTTACAGGGTGTGTCACCTTCAGTCACTCGGTTCAAGTTCCTTAGCTGTGCGCCTGCCAAATGGTTTCTCTGTGACGGGGGGTTGATCTTGTGTTGAGAGCAGCTAGCTGGTTTCTCTTAAATGCCTGTGTCTATGTTTGCTACATTTCTATGACAATGTGTTCGCACCAGTATAATTATGACTGCATTAGCACTTACCCTGTAAACCACATGATTCAGGGCTTTATGAGTAGGTAATAAAAACTCTCTCCAGGCAGAAACTTGTCTCAGACATGGAAACTTGGGGGTGGGGGCAGGAGTAAATGGTCATTGTTGGTTAGGACCTTCTGAAGTCTGTGGTCATTAGAAGTCCCATTTATTGGTTAACCCTCTGCAGAGCCAGGACCGGGTGCTGCGGGGTTAAGATCTTTAATCATTTAGCTACACATGGGACCTTCGCCAAGTTTCGTCTGCATTCATTAATTCTTTCAGGAAATATTTGAGTGCCTAAAACGGGCTGGGGGCAGGTGACCCTTCAGTGAACAGCACAGGAGTTCCTGTTCTCCTAGGGCTTATGTTCTAGAGGATGGGGGGAAGGGAGAGAAGCCGAAAGAGAGGGAAGAAAGCAGAAAGGAGGAAGGAAGGACGAAGGAGAGAAGAGAGAGGGAGGAGGGGAAAATACCAGATGGGAAGGGCTTTGCAGAGAGTTAACGCAGAGTGAACCGTTGCTATTCCAGGACCAGCGACAAGGCCAGTCTCCGTGGGAGGCGACCTGAGTGCGGAGTCAGCCATGTGAAGGGCACTCCAGGCGGAGGGAGCAGCTAGGCTGCATGTGAAGGTGGGCCCCCAGGTCCGTGAAAGAAGGGCCAGGGGCAAGCGGCAGTGCATGTGCTAGCTGGTGGACCGGGGCCTCTGGGCCCCTCTAAATCCGGGTGAGGGGCTTGACTTTTTCAGGGGGATTAGGGCATGGATGTATGAGTGATGGAAGTTTTAAATAGATCCCTCTGGCAGCTGGGAGCAGGAGGCACAGGGAGAGCAGTTGGGAGGCTGCTGCTGAAACCAGGTGGCCGCAGCGGGAGCATGTTTGCGGGGCGTCGCATGCACCCCCTTTCAGGGAGAGGGAGCACGGCTGAGGGGCGATGAGCCAGTGCGCGCGGTGTGAGTGCGGCGTGGGCACCGTCAGCCTGAGATCCGT